CTCAGAATGTGTCACTATAGATTACTAAACTAAAACCATGAAATCATTGATCATTTTGTGTGGTGTCTACCAATCATCATGTACTAAGGAATTTTTTGTTACCTGTTGCATGCACTTTACATTTATTATTATGATTATTATTACTACAGTGTTTGCAATATTTTCAATAGCTGATTAAAAATTCACTAAAATAACTGTTCAATGTTCAACTAATAGAATTGTATGCACGTTAACTTTATTTTCAATAGTTAATTAGACATACACTTCAACAAAAAAAACTCAATTGCTACATTTATCGTTCACAAATTAAAACATTTGGAAAAATACTTTTTACATTTAGAGATAATTAAGTAAATAGGAATGAATCGAAACATAAATTTCATTAACAGGTGTATATTACACAATGCTGGAGTTTTAGTGATTGTCTAAAATGCTTTCAGAAGATTAGAATGTTTCATTAGGATAGTGGAGTTTGGTGAAACTCTTTTATACAACTAGCTTATGGCTGAACAATAATTCTGACATCAACAAATGTTTAAGTGTACTTGATAGAAATCGATGCCAGAGGGACCAAAATGGCTTTATTCAGCTGGAAGAAAATACTTTTTCGTTTCAGGTTGTAAGGCGATGATGCTGTAGAGATAATCAATGGTAAACCAAAGACTACACGAGCCAGAACGTACTTAGAATAGTATGTTTAATAGACCAGGACGTATCTTGAAGTTTAACATACTATCCTACTTAGAAAAGCAAGTTTAATAGACTACTCAAGGGTTGCCTATAGACCTTCTGATTCATTGTCAACTGCTAGTGTCAGCTAATTTACTTTTGAAATGACTGATCCCATAACTTTTATATTAAATACAAATAAGGGTCGTCGACTTGATGTTTTCTCCATAGTCTGAACTTAGCGTTTGTACGTACCCTCGTACATAATTGAATAATTTTTCATCCCCCTCTCCAAAGTAGTTCTCAAACTTATTGTCCAATAATATTGATCACGGATAATGATATCATCGATTATCATTGTTTTCTGATGGGTATGAAAAAAGCAATAAGTTGTGTTGTGATTACTTTTTGTTGATAACAATGAGCTCTAATTATCACAGTCTCACTAATTTAGATTGAATTTCAGACGCTGCTACAACTAGGAATAATTTGTTCCTCAGCATATTATATGTTTATATATTTGAGGAAAAGAAAGTGTGCACTTAGATATACTGAGTAAAGCAGTTACCAAGTTATTCGTACTGACAGGCAAACATTCAGAATTTATAGTCGAGGGTAAAGAAAAAAACACTACAATCATTTTATTGTTAGCCACAATTCTCCGGTATCCGATTGAGATAAGTAATCAGAGCGATTAACAAACGTATACATTGTAGTCTAATCCAACTTGTTACAGTTGTTTGTATTAAATTATATGTTTATATCTTCACAACAAGTCAGTTAATATATTTTTTCATGATCGTGATTGTTACGAATGCGTGTGACCACGTCAATTTGATATGCTTGAACTATTGCGAGTTTACCTTAGTCAATAAATGAGAGCGAGGATCGAGGATCCGGGGACATGACAGGCTACTCTAATCCGAATGTCCTAAACCCCATTGAGTAAAAGAAGAATACTTGGTATGAAGTAGAACATGCATTCTACAATCATCTAGGAAGTACCAGGTCCGAGTCCAGAAGAGAACCAGGATCCCGGACTCGGGATCCAGGTCCGGGTCATAAGACGGTACAGATAATGCGTATTTATACATTTAGGTCCAATATGAAACAACATTAAAGTATGTGACATTGATAGTTAGGACCACCAACAGGAAAGACCATTTGAAGTGACACTGATAATCAGGACGACCAATGGGAAACAACATTGAGGTACGTGACAGTGATAGCTAAGACGACCATAATATTGACCAATAGGAAATGACCAATAGAATTAGACTTACAAACAATTCTCTTAGGATATGCGATGAATAACACTGATAACCAAACTGTTTACTTTTTTTGGCAAATTAATTGCATTATTTTATTTTAATTAAATACGGTCGAAGTGTTATATATTCAAGCTTGGTTATAGATTGTTTATTTCTTGCTGTTCATCAGTATAAGAACGATTACCAAACGATTAGACTGTTCCTAATAATTTGTTACCAGTTGTTTGTATATACGTTTAATGGTACAATTTTTTAAATTTTAACTAGATTCGATTCTCAAGGTTAACAATCCGATCATCGAAATAGGCAACTCAACATAGATGGACACAATCATCACTTGTGGATAGTTAAGTAATCTGTGGTATTCAAGAAGTCTTGATATAGTGTAGAAATCGTATTCTACAAACACCCAGCAAGCACACAATCAATCCAAGCACTCAAATTGCGTTTATTTATACCTCATAGAGACGTCCTTGAGACAGTCACAAAAATAGCACACTAAAATGACACAGTAACCTAACACAGTCAACGGTTTTTCTGGTGGGAAATGTGACCTCAAGGTCAACTGATCAGTCCGTGAAATAAAGCCTAAATAAAAATATTTATCAAGCGAGTTCCGTGGATCTAACATTCACAACATTTATTACCGTAAGGTCTTGAAACTTGAATAATATTAAGTAATAATAAGAACGTTATCAAAATATTATGCTGTTTTTCTCACTCTTTGGTATTTTTTTAAAAGTATTTTTTCCAAAGAAACAAAATCTTGTCATATTAGCTATAGTTTAATTTGGTTTATTGAATTCCGATAATAGTTCTCAACTGAGGGCATTGATGAGAAATCGTTATGCAATGAAGTTTATAAAACATTGAAAAGGCAATAATATAATGAGAGCTACTGTATGGAATGGAAACTCGGAGAAATACAAAATCCATCATCCACAAGATACAGTTATTTATTAACAGTTGTCCACTGAAGGTCTGTTGGCTAGATACCATAAGTAACAACCTACTGCGGCAGAGAATGAACAGGATTCCAGTAGAGGAAGAATTTTTTTAAAAAAAAACGGTTTTTAGTGGATGAGACATATATTGTTGAAATCACCCGATTGCCTTACAAGATAAGCACTCAATAGGAATCCTTAATGTCGATAAAGATTAGGAAGACCAAACAACACATTACGCCGAATAATGGAGACAGACATGAGAGGAATGAACAGCAATAAGATATAAGACTGGAAAGGAAGGCCCAGAGCAGAGTAGCTTGGAGAATGCTAGTCGGTGGTCTATGCTACATTAGGGGTTAAGGGTTTAAAAAGGAAAGTTATGCATTTTCGACACCCCAAAAAAAAACGAGTTTATATTAGCCTACATTTCAGTGGTAACTTTAATTAACTTATACCGAGACGAAGATTTAAATTAGCTATAATTGAAAAGTCAAGGTTTGTGTTTTACAGGAAACCCAAACCAGCTTGTAAGCAATTGTTTCTCACCAATTCACATATATAAGCGAATGTATACATAATGTAGAGTAATCGTGAAATGAAATTATACACATGGCAAAAAACAAATACAAATTCCGCTGTCATTGCACAAATCCAACCTTCATCCTGTCATCAAATTATTCAAATTTATAAAAAAAAAATATTGGAAAGGATTTTTAACTTGTCTTTGTGAAAACTAATTTAAGCAACAATGACATTTACAGAATTTTTACTTCTTATCTACGTCATTGATTTGTTTCTTTTTAAAAAAAACAAACACACCGATCAATAACTAAAGAACTAAAAAATTGTGAAACAAAAATACAACTCGATCCAGTAGGTACTAGCCAAAATAAAAAAAAATCAATTGTAGCAATTGTGTAACTAGACCAAGAAAATGAAAAAAAAAAGTCAGTTGACATTTTTAAACCAAAAACACACAAATTCTTGAACTAATTTTTAGAAATTATTGTAAATTTTAATGCCAGATGTTTTTAATTCCATCATCATCAGTGTGTGTTTGAAAATGAATAATGAATTAATTAGAGTTGAGGAGAGAAAAATAACATGCTTGAAAAAAATAGATATCCTAAGGATTATTGATATGCATGAAATAATCGAGCTGTTACGAGTTCACCTTATTCTGGTGAACGGAAGGGAAGGTCGATAATGATTCAGCGACAAGATAGGCTACTCCCATGCCCCGCTAACTAGAGGAAGAATTTTTTAATAAGACGTAAACAGCATGTATTTCACATACATTCAGAAAGTAAGAGGTATAAAGCACACAACTCAGGCTTATTTATACTGAGTAAACGACCTTGGTGATAGCCACAAAATAGCGTGCTAAAATAATTCATCAATCAACGACAGTCAAGAGTTTTCCGAGTGCAGAAGGTCAACTAAGCATCTTTGGCGCGAAAACATAAAATTCCAAAGTTCAAAATAAAATTACAAAATTTGGGCCTTTTCCAAGTGAGTTCTGGGGGATCTAATGTCCTCAACAATTTATGAATTAAATTGAAACAAACACGGTTTAGTAATGACCCGTCTTTTTTCTCTTAGACGAGGTGACTTGCTAGAACTATACAAGTTTATAGATAGTTATTTTTTAAAACCGCACAGTTCAAATTTAATGGCTTGTAGTAAAATAAACATGAGATTATCGTACTATTCACTAACGTTACGAAAATGTTTAACTACGTCTAAAGCATTTCTGGGTTACTACCGATCTCACACACACTGTGGAAAGCAGTCAAATGAGTCGCAAGATAAGCCCTCACTTGGAACCCTCATGGGTAAAAGGAGAAAAGAACACATTGTGTCAGGAATCAGAGACAGACATGAAAAGAATGAAAAGCGAATGAACAGAACTGGAAAAGAAAGTTGAGGACAATGTAGGTTGGAAAATGCTGGTCGGCGGCCTATGCTCCACAGGGATAAGTAGAAAAGTAAGGATACACTTTGAAATGACACAAAGTAACAATAGTTATATAATTAAATAATAAATTTGTTATGTTTTATTTAATAAATTTCAATTTTAATAAAGAATGAAAATAAAATGATTGCATCTTACTTGAACTCCATCTCTTGTTGTTGTATTCAGTGTAGTATCAGATGGAAAACGTTTCTGTGTTGTATTTCCACCATGAAGTGTTTGAATTTTACGAAAACTTGGACCTAATGAAATGATAATAAAGTCAATAATTTAGATTTTTTTTACCATAAAATCAATAAATAAAATACACGTTAATTAACAAAAATTGTGTATAAAACGCTGTTCTTGATTATTCTTTTATACAACAGTCACATAGTAATGACTGGATACTGTTAAGTTCTGGATAATTGTGATCAAATTTTACTCTAAAAAACTAGAAGATATAATAAATAGTGAGTATGCTTGTTCTATTCCAATACACAGCAACAAATTTAGTGTAGTACTAGCCTCTAGGTTTGAACATACACAACGGAAAAGGAAAGGCCCTCCGATACAACATGGCATGCACTAACTAAATCACAGTTAATGGAGAAGCTTTAGAAGGTAAGGAAACGTATACACACCTGGGTAGTATCACTTATAAATAAGAAGAATCTGATGAAAATGTGAAAGCGAGAAATGGCAAAGTAAGACTAGCATTTCTACAATTGAAGAACATTTGGAACTCGAAACAACTGTCAACGAACACTAAACTCAGAAATTTCAATTCAAACGTCACAACAGTTCTACTGAATGGAGCGGAAATTTGGAGAAATATAAAAGCCATCGTTCAAAGATAGGTGTTTATTAACAGTCGTGTACGCAAGATACTGCCTATCCATTTGCCAGACACCATCAGTAAAGGTGTATCTTCTATCCTAAAGCCGGATATAATTCCAATTATCACTAAATATCTTTATCTGTAAACATCGAACGCGTTCATGTCATTTTAGGAACGGATACTTCAAACCCCATCTTACAATAGTAGGAATAACGTCGAAACTATATGTACACTTGAAGTTAGCAATGTGAACTAACTTAATCAGTAAGGACTGAACAACAATCTCACCGTGAAACGAGACTTCTCCAATGCCAGATGATGAGGTAAACCACGTGTGAATCAAGATAAGATCTCAATGATATTCTTCGTGGTTCATAAGTTGAAAATATAGGTCCTTAGATTTTAGGTGTGCAATCTGTTAACGTAAAATCAACGTCTTCAAATAGATCCGGTTATTAATGAGAGCAGTAAAGACCAAAAAAAAGGCACATGTCACTTCTTCACAAATTTCAACATTCTATAACATTTTGTTTCTATCTATATGAACAATACAACTTATGTTTATCATGTAAAATGCTACCTAATAATACGTGCTTTAATGTAGCTTCATATATATAAATATGTATATATTCATAGAAAGATAGAGAATTTAATAATTCCTCCAGGAAATATTATTGAATTTATACTTTTTCGCTAATAGAAACGATTATTTTATAAAAATCATGATGTGTATTACATATTTATGGCAAGGAAGAATATTTGTTATCTGTTAGACAACGATAATTAAACATGTAAATGAAATTGTGATATCTTCGTCAATTGATATACTTGAAACTATTACGAGTTCAACCTACTTAGTAAACGAGAGCAAAGACAAATGATACAGAGATCCGATTGGCTATTCTGATTCGATTGCCTCAGGCACTGCTAACTAAATGAAGAAGTCTTGATAAGGCGTAGAAAATGTATTCTACAAGCACCCAAAAAATATGAGGTCGACAAGTACACAAATCGAGTTTATTTATACATGGTAGAAACGTCCTTGGGAGAGACACGAAAACAGCATACTGAAATAATCCATCAACCAATGAAAGTCAAGGATTTTCCGAGTGTGAAGTGTAGTCTCAAGGTCAACTGATCAGTCCATGCGCGAAAACATAGAATCCAAAATTAGGACCTTTATCAAGCGCATTCTGGGGATCTAAAGTCCTCAACAAATTGATAAAAAGAATCAACATCTCAGTGAAAATAACCCTCTGAATTTTACAATTACTGATGATAGGAAAAGAAACCTAGAACGCAAAACTTTATTTTATGAATTTACTAATCACCTTAGTAAATGTATCGCAAACTTATATAAATAATCGTCAATATTTGAGCAAATGGTTTGATTAAAATTTGACGTCGAGTAAATAAAAGAGATTATTTGCGAAAATTATATCAGAAATAATTCCAGTGATTGAAAGTTTGAGATGACTCCAACGTTTTGTCTGGCAAACTTGTCTGGACTACTTCAGGGTAAACATCAATGTATAATTTTTCAATGAATGTATTTTAATGCTGACTTATTTACCTGAAATAGTCCAGAAAAGATTATTGCGCAAAACATTGGAATCATTCAAATTTCAATTTCCGAGATTATTTCAAATACAATTTTCACAAATCATAAATTAGTAAGATCGCTTTGAATATTTTCTTCTGGACATGCTAAGATTTTATTCAAATCGAAACTGACTCTGGTAGAATTTTGATCTTTATTGTTACTGGTTATCGTTTGAGAATATTATCAATATTTAATTTTACTCAAATTTAAATTTTAAACATTTCTCACACACACGCCATCTTACAACATTTATCCTACATCAAATACAGTGTTATGAAATGAAACTAATAAATAATATTACATTTTACAGTGAGATCATGAATCAATCATTGTTAGACCAACATTGGAAATATCCAAGCACTGTCCTGCTGTTTCGTCCTAGTATGGGACTCTTCAGTAGTGCACATACACGACCCTCGCTCACAGGAATCACACCCAGGACCTTTGGTCTTTATCTCTAGACCACTGAGCCAGCATTCAACGGTGTTGATGTCTAACTTTCATTATTCTAAGGATTTCGCGCAACCTCATTCACTGTCTTCAGTAGTTACTGTCCAAAACTGACAGGACTGAACTCCACAAGGTCATGGCCTCTTAATATAACTCCGAGAATTTCTTCACCAATCTAGTCACTAGTGAGAACATTTTATGAGTTTTCATTAAAGATTAGCGGAGATCACTGTTTTACATGACTGATTGATGATTTCAATATAAAACAACTGTCTCCATAACTTTGTACTGAAAAATATTACATTTCAGCACAATGTAGCACACCTATCGAATTATTTCCTAATGTAAACAGTAACGGTAGAAAATATTTCAGATTGACTAACGAGATATTTCTGTCAATTAGTTTCTTTTGACGTTGATTAGAAATTCTCTGCTTTGTTTGAACACTGATTAGTTTGAGCGTATAATTGGTGTAGACAAGAAAGGTTCAATTTTACAGACAATCTATTTTTGTCCAGAATGATTCTTGTTCCGATTTGCATTATTATTCAAAACAATTTGATAAATGTGTTGTAGATAGATTGATTTGATCGATTAGTTATAAATCTGTCATGTATTGATTTTTAGAAGAGTGAAATTAAATTATATTTCATTTCAATTCAATATATTTAACCTTCTCATACAAGAGTCATTCTCCTAGTGTTGTAAATGAATTAGTTTTATAGGAAACATTAAATAATGCTAAGTAATTTATGAATAATACAAACTAATGTGAATTCATTTCATTTGAAACTTCCCAATTAGTCAGTCTCCTATTTGGACATATATGCATCCTACCCGGATTGCCTTATTATAGACATTAAGTCACTGCATTATACGCAGAAATGGACGGTAGCTAGCAGAGGAAAATATCGATTAATTTTCACTGGTAAACACCAATGGAAAGAATTAAACAACCAATAAAAATGAATTCCACTTCACCTCATTGAACAAGTGTGTGACTTTCTGGATTCAGCAGCTAAGTAGATAATGAAATGACGTCCAAAGCAAACGGTACTGGGTTCAAGTCTCAGAGTGAACATTAACTCAGCATATCCAGCTGACAAGTCTCGGATTAAATGAAATGCGCTTCCTGAACCCCACCTACGCATCTCTGCTTATGATGAGAATTCAACTTAACAAACAATTTACATAGTTTTATAGTTTTGTAAACATGTGAAAATGATGAATCTCCGGATGTTATCTCTAATAGCTGACTGTAAAGTTATAGAGAGAATGTCTATAAGTTTTGAAGGTATTTTTCAGTCAAATATATTCCTTGATGAAATCAAAGGTCTGTTGATTAACCCAGTAGTATACCTTCTATATAAAATGGCGTTAGATTTCGTAACAAGATGAAATAAACTTCTCATCTTTTCGACTGAATGAACGAATACGCGTAAAAGTCTGAGTTATTAAATTGTAAATCTTAATTATTAACTCACCCTTTTAAAAAAATAATTATCTAAAGAATAATCACACAAATTCATAAAACCCAACTTAATATCTGATAAAAACAAGAAGAATCTAAATTGAAGTTAATGTTTATTAACCTAAAAAGTTTTTGTATATAACCAATGTATTAAAAAGTTCCAAGTATATACAATGATCAATCATGAATATTGGTATACGGATAAATTATACAGTTTTCTCAATCCGTGTAAGTAAATTAGAGACTGATAATCATTTCGGTTTTCTAATCCATCATTGATGTCTAGTATGCGCGACACCTATTGGACAATGAACAACCTTATGCACCGTTCATAATTTAAAATTCACTTACTCTTACTAACATTGAACGTTGAATAAGAAAATGTATTTGAACATAATGTCAAGATTAGAACAGCATAAACAAAATTTAATTGTGGGAAAAAGTTTATCATCAACATGTTTTGATTGAAATCACGTTCATTCAGTTGATAGAGTAACTTTTTTTCAAACCTTTTAACATAACGATGATATGCATGGCAATAAATTATACAACGGAACGAAAAAGTAGTAGTTCATTTTGAATTGAATAAAAAATTTCTAATATCTAGTTAAAGTACAAGTACATTAACTATAAGGTTTTCTTTCAAAATACGATTTTCATTGTTTTAACGCTTTGTTGAACATTGAATGTTTATGTAAGATATAAATAAATCTAAATGTGCGCAACAAAAACACTAAAAAAAGAAGTAGATAAGCATTTTTCACATTGATCAACCATTCTTTCCTTCCTACACTAAATCTGAGCTAATCAATAATAATTGTAATCATATTCAGAAATGATAAATCTGCAAGTGCTAGTAACATTTACAAAAATATCAAATATTCTTGTTATTAAATATGATATTTTTGTAACATAAAAACAAAAAATTACCAGTTACATTTTGGTAAAAATTTTATCAATACCACACTAAGTGCACAATTTGTTTTTTTTTTTTTGGAATTTCGTGTTGAATGCGATTTTCATGGTAAGTTTGGGTCGATGAATATAGGTGTGATAAGAATTTGTTTGTCTTACAACACAAGGGAGTAAATCAAATTCCAGCAGAAGAAGATATTCAGAAAAAAAGCGAAATGAACAAAACACACAATAAGGAAAGCATCCAACTGCGTCACAAAATAAACCCTAACTTGTATAGCTCAAGGCTATACCAAAGAACACATTGTGTCAAGAAGTGGGAGCAGACATGAAAAAATATGGACGGCAAGTGGATAGAACTGGAAAGGAAGGTTGTGGACAGAACAGGTTGGAGAATGCCGTTCAGTGACCAATACTCCATTAGGTTTAACAGACTTAAGTAAGTAATTAAGTAGTTACATCATGACGAAACATTTAGCTTGTGTATTTTGTCCAATTTTTGCAAGGGAAATATAAAAAAAGACATGTTCAAAATACTAATATATTTCTACAAAATTTTCCATTCATTAAACAGCTTTACAATTATAAGCTTATAATTACCTTACGTTATTCTCGATCATTCGTATGCATAGTCAATAAGGGGAACTTGTTTCAGCTTTTCTACACATATTGAAAACATATTTTAGCACTGAGTTAATATTTATTAGAAGGTTCCATTTACAGTTACTTGTAGAAACATCTTATTTCAACCACTGAAAGTAAAACATGTTGAAATATAAAAGCCAAAAGTAGTTTTCTTCTACTCACACAGTATTCAGTTTGATAAAAAGTCGAAGGTCAATGTTGATATGTTCGTCGATTGTATTGAAATGTAAATGTTATTTGAATCGATATTTTTATCTAGCAAATACGAATTAGTGATTTATTCGTAAACAAATTCAAATGATTCACTTTTGATACTAGTGATATAGCACGTGTTTGATTATGGTGGAATTTTAGGTTGTGGAGCTTTCATTGTTCTTCTCGACAACATCATTAGGACAAACTTCACGAAGATCGGAAGTATTCAAAGTTCTTCACGTTTGACCTGTAGCTTGTTCTACTAACCTCGATCTTGATTGTTTGCTGTTGACCTTAAACCTGTCGTTGTTTGTTGATGATGTCGTTCAAAGAACAATGAAAGATCCACAACCAAAACATCCAGCTCAGAGAACGAAACACCGCTACAATCATCCACCTGAGCTACAAATCTTTGCTGTTGGTTGTTAGTGAACTTAAATCTATCGTTGTCAGCTACTGTATTCTTATTATTTAGTATTTTTATTTAATCATGATTGGTATCAACAGGACAAGCTACGAGTAATACGTGGAGACATTCAAATACTTTACTTCTACCTGACGTTTGTGCTGATGATGTTGTCCAGAGGAACAATGAAATCTTTACAACCAAACCATTAAACTCAAAGAATGAAACTCCACCATAATCATTCACCTGAGCTACAAATCTTTTTCACTGCCAGCTTTTAACGGAGAAGAATAATTATGGATAGTGAATACAATCAATTAAGTAGTTTCGTTGTCTGAGCTAGATGTTTTGATCGTGGAGCTTCCATTGCTCTTCTGAACAACATCATCAGAACAAACTTCAGATAGAAGTGAAATATTCGAATTTCTCCATGAATGACCTGTAGCTTGTCCTTCTGAATTCAGTCCGCCTGAGCTACAAATTTTCCTCAACACCTCACTGTTGGTTAAGTCAGTTTTTCATATTTCGAAAAATCTAATTTCTTTTAGTACATTCAACTTTAGTGATTAATAATTTCGTCGAGTAACTGGCTGATTACAAGTATGTTTCCTATCCTTCCTACCACTCCATACATCAATATGAAAACTGCAGAACTAAAGAGTAGAGAAGGATTTATCATTATTTCCTTTTAAAAAATAAAAATTCCTGTAGTGAATAATGAAGCTGTTAGTTCCAGTGTTGCATAGGTTATTTTCCCGTAAACATATTCACATAATTAACAGACGGAAACTTATTTGTCATTGCCTAGTGATAGTACGTTTATTTAGTCTGAAATCAAGCCTCATGGTACAATATTTTACACTAATCTGATTTAATATGCACATTGTAAAAAAAAATCACTGTTGTTACTTGCCCATGTGATTCATTCTAAACTTTGCACAGAAATTTGTTTTAATCCTATCAACCGAAAATAATTGACCAAGTCAATTAATTACCCGCTCATGACCTTGAAATGTGTAGCCTTTGTCTGTATATTCATTTGTATGTTCTTTTTTCAAATTTATAAAGACAGTCACTTATTAATTCACTGAGTCGGTTATTTGTGTTACGTCCATTCATGTGCCTTTCTCGTTTGTCATTGTTTGTCAACAATTTTGGCCGGTTAGAAATATATATCTTTCCCGAATTCTGTTGTATTTCATTTCTCAAATCTACTTTGTTATTAATGCGATTAGTCGATAATGCCAAATATGCAATACGATAGAATCTATGCTTATTTCAATCGAACCAGTATTATTCGATTATAGGGTGTTTGATCATTAATTGATGAACCACAGCCAGCATTTACCGTTGTAGTATTTTTTTTATTAAAAAGAAACAGCGAATAATCCAATAGGTTACTTCAATCACTAATTGATCAAAACTGTTTTAAATATTGACTATAGAACATGATCAATGGATAGCATATAAGTTATTTTGATCAAAATTCCATTTGAAATAATTAATTTAATAATTCAAATCAATGAATTGCATATCGTTTTTGTTTGTATATACTACTGATGTGATACATCCTCTGTCTTTAACAATGAAACAATCATATGAAAAATCAAGTGTATGACACAATACTGTTGTTAGCTAAAAGTTAACTTTTTCATTTACCTATGTTGATATTGATGTTTTGTGTAGTACAGAACTGAAACTTAGATATGCAAAGTTCCCGGTGAGAATGATACTTCTGATATTTGAATTTATGGTCTTGATACTAGTTTTCGATTTTAAAAAACTTTTTTACAGCTAATAGAAAACCTAAAACTGAAATTACATTTGAACTTCACAAGTTTATCTTGACAAAAACATCTCAGTTAAACAAACTGCAACAATGTAGAACGACACTACAGAATTTATAGTTAATTAGGGTATTTTAGGAAAATAACTGAAAACATTATGGAATATGTTTGGCTGTATATCGAAAAACCAGTAAATTCAATACGTTATAATGTAGCACATTCGAAACTGTAGATAACCAACTTGTAGTTTCAATCGTTAATTTGTCCTAAACTCATACTTTTATTGTTTTTAATTGTTGCCTATTGCTTTCTTCTCAGCAGTGCGCATCCACGACTCCTGCACCCCGCAGGATTCGAACCCAGGACCTTCGGTATTGTGCGCGAACGCCCTAACCGATAGACCACTGAGCCGCGCACAAGACCGAAGGTCCTGGGTTCGAATCCTGCGGGGTGCAGGAGTCGTGGATGCGCACTGCTGAGGAGTCCCATAACAGGACGAAACGGCCGTCCAGTGCTTCCAGGTTTCTAATGGTGGTCTAACATTGATCGATTCATGGTTTCAAAAATGTGTAACTTAACAATCTTCACAACCCCGTAATGCATATTGCTTTCTTCATTAAAAGTGAATGCATTCTATGTGGCTACTGAGTCAATGA